GTACGTACGTAGTACGTACGTAGTAGTAGTACGTAGTAGTAGTAGTAGTAGTAGTAGTAGAGAGTAGAGTAGAGAGTAGTAGTAGAGAGAGAGAGAGAGAGAGAGAGAGAGAGAGAGAGAGAGAGAGAGAGAGAGAGAGAGAGAGAGAGATTATATTTGAAGAAATCTGGCTTACCTTTCATGGGGATTTCATGTGCATTATTCGAACTAAGATTACAGGGATCTTACTGGTTTACAATCCCTTTTATTTATTTTTTGAAAAAATTGGGCATCTAGGTCATACCGCAGTCCACCCACAAGGCTAGATAAATTTTAGTAAAGCTCAAAATCTCATCCTTGGTGGCAAGGGCTTAAAAAGGAGAGCTAAAAAGTAGAGCAAATCACAGCCATCAGTATTGGCAGTTTAAGATTCTGACAAATTTGTATTCGAATTATGAAGGAACACAGCGCTAAATAATTTTGATGGAAAATGTTATCCACTGAAATCTTGGGCATTATATAGATTGTACCATCCACCACCATCTCAACGTTATCATCTGGATGAGAAACTGTATTCATATAGGATGTCCATGAAAAAATATAGTTGATAAATTTGGCATTGATCTTGGATGCTATGCCGTTCCGTCCATGGCGTGATATATTTTCTAGGAAGCAAATAACTCGAGAATTTAGACAACCAATGTTTAAACAAACAGATGCACCCATCCTAAAGACCAGTCAGAATCGGCGGATCGGTTGAATTTGGCCCAAACTGGCCTTAAATTTTTTTAAAAGCTCACTATGGCTTTTTATTAATCTAGCCTTTAGGTTTTTGAAAGAAAATGGTATAGTATTATGTATTTTTATTATTTTATGGAACATATATAAATATGGAGAACTTGTTTCATGTGCATGACTATTTGTTGATCACTATGTTGATTTTATAGTCAAAATGGAACTCCTTGCAATAAAATGGATCTCTCTACTCAAATTATTTTTTTCCTTGTATTTTTATAATCTCCCATGTCGCTTGTGCTTATAGAAGTAAGGGTTTTGCCTACCTGTTTTTTATTTTTCTATATTCTCAAAATTGATTTATTAAATTAATTATTTATTTTCATTCATATTTTTATTCGTTTTATTTCTCTAGAGGTATTGTAGTTGTTCCCATTTGTATTCAATTTATCTATCATTACATGATTGAAAAATATCAGTCTCACCTGCTCTCATTGATTTATAGCTTAGATTTTCTTGTATGGAGTTGGGGCACAATCACATTAAAAAAAAAGAACTAATAGAGTTGGGAATGTATCTCTCTCATCCCCACATTTTCCCTTGAGAATGCCCCTCTCTTCTTTTCATCTCTACAAATTCTCTCCTTTGGGAGGATTTTTTTCCTTGATCCCCGATTCTCTCCTTACATGCTTTCTTTCATCTGAACTCAATTTTTCTCTAGATGACCTCTCTATTTTCTCATCCTCACATACCCATATGCTCCCTCTAAGTGGTCGTTTCATACTCACAGATTCACACTCTCTCACACCAAATAAATTCTTTGGTGTATAGATTCTCTCTTTTTCTAAACTTCACGTACCCATATCGTCTCTAAAAGTTCTTGTAATATATATCTCTTGTACCAAAACAAATACTCTCTCTCTCAAGTCTCAGTCTACCTGCTCATTTCCTCCCTGAAACGCTTCAAGGATTCATAATCCATCTCTTGCCTAATTGCAATAGAGGCGGAGAGAGAGGGTGAAAGGGAGAGAGAAAGAAGGGAAAAAGATATGGCAAGTTAATTACTTCTAAAGATACGACTTGCATTTTTTGTGGGTTTATTATGAAAGTATTTTGATATTAATATAAAATTTCTTTAATTTTATTTGTCTTGTTCTCTTTTGGTATCAAGATGCCTATTATGCAAGTTTCTCTTTCAAATCTTAAAATCTACTCGAACTTTTTATTTGTAATCTTATTGTTTTAAGTTTTTAAATCGAGCCCATAAAAGCATAAAGACATTTATTTGAAGTATGATCGTTTTAGTTATTTTAGATCGAGCCCAAAAAAGTAGAAAAACTTTTATTTTAAGTAGGATAGTTTTTTTGCGTCTTTCAGGTGGGGTACGTGCTCGTAGCCCGCAAAAGTACAAGTTTTAAACAAAGATTTAAGAAAGGTCGGACATCAATTAACTATATATAAAATACCACATGGGAGGAAAGTATGTGTACTCCATTCCAAGTAGTGGTGCGGGGCCATCCACATAGAAATGTGCGACTTCTAGTAAACAATAAAAGGAATTGTATATACTATGAGACCATCTACTCTTGGACAAGGTTTTTATGAGTCCATGTAGAAATGAGCCACCTTTTAAAAATCTATTTTTGAGATTCATTTTTGGACTTAAATTTTAAAAACATGTAATCTCTAACATGGAGAAAATGAATATGAAAAAAGAAAATTTTTTTTAAAATTTAAAATAATAATTCTTCTAAGAAAATATTGGACTGTTAGTTTCGATTGTTTTTAGATGGACCACCTATTTCTTTTACTTTTTGATACAAGGATGTCACAATTATTCTTGGCCATTGGATATGAATTTCGATGAATTAAGTGTGCCAAAACAATCGAAAAATTTTATTTTAAACTTTCAACCTTGGAAATATCTCCCACAACCTAATTTCACAGCTAACCGGTCAATAGTGATTGTGATCTCCTTACAAAAAATAAACAGTTTTATTGTTTGCATTTCCATACTAAAAAGTAAATGAAAAACACATGGGAAATGTTGGGCCTCTACTAAATAAAAATTTAAAAGTAAAAATTCATAAAAATAAAAAATTACATGGAATTGGCCTGTCTCAATTGGTCCATATGGCCATTTTTGATATTTAGACGGAATTGGGTTGATTCTCTGAAAACCAATCTAGATTAATCCAGATCAACAATTTTTTAAAGGAAAAAGTTTATATAAGGATGCTACCTTACATCAGAAAAGGTAGTTTTAATGTTGAAAATCCCTTTGATTGATCATCTCGACATCGAGATGTATGACTATAGAAAAATAAAAAGATTTT